TACAAATGTCATCATAAAAACTGGACAGGTACAACATGCTAATTACAACAAAAAAATACCTGGACACACATGTATTAATTGTCAGTATTAACCAAAAGATTAAAAGTCTTATCACATTTAAATGAGAGGATGGTTGACTTTGCGTATATATGGATTTTACATCGTTTTTCTCTTTAAACTATTAAATGAAGAGAGTGGCATGTTTTTTAAAGGTATGTATGTCGAATACAAAAAAAAAATCAATGTACTTGTTCATGTATTCCAGATAGTTAAATTCATGAACATTTTCGTTTTGAACAATTTAAATTTGAGCCTAAACAAGTCTGGTGTAATGTATATATTTGTAATGGAGACAGAGAGTGTACCTGGACTCAATGTTTCCTACAAGATATTGTACATTTGATAGAGGAGATCACATTAAATTCAAACTAAACTACATAATACAAAAGATTACAGATATGTGAGACAATTTATTATTTTGAATTGTGTTTTAAAATAGAAATTCACTTCTTCATTTATGCTGAAACAAATTGGAAGATTTACTGCATTTGTACATTTGTATAAAAAAATTGTTCAGGTACTATTGAAAGTGGTGATTTATTTACCAAATATATTGCTTTGCTACTGGTTTTCAGAGTTGTTTGTTTCAAGAATGGTGGTTGTCTCTTTCACACATTCCCCATTTCCATTCTCAATTCTATTTGTTTATTCAATATATGTACTAAATCATGTACTAAATCTACTACAAAAAATGACAACTCTCCATGATTTTTGGATAAACATATTATGAACTTATGGAGCTGTTTATTAGTCAATTCTTTACAATGATGCAGTTTACCAGCAAGGTGTTGATATTTTCTTGGCTTTTTGTTGTGAAAGATCTTATCACTAGGGATCATGTGGTTAGACCTTGACCTTTTGTTTGTATTCTTAATTTGTTTCCTTCAACTTAAAAGTTATCAAAACTTTCAAGGGACAGGCAGTTTCTTATATACATGTACCAAGTTATCAGTATAACAGACTGGAAAATTTGGGTTGAATTTAATTACAAAAAACACAGTGCAGTCATCTTTGAGCAGTTAACCCCTGCTTCACATCTTATTGTGAAGCTAGACTGACAAAGCAAAATATAACTTTATTTCCTAATCTGTTAATTTTACTAATTAAACTGTCTGAAGGGCCAACAATCACTAATTTAAAAAAAAATGCAAAAGTTTTGTAAATTATAAAAAAAGCTTGCTGACATGGACAGTCAAAAACAAAATCTTATTCTCAGACCTTCCCCTGCCGGTGATATGAAATTTTATTTCTTGACCTTATTACATTTTTTAATGTGGATCAATTAGTTAATATGATTAACCTAGAAATGACTAGATATTAATAAAAGTTATAAAAAATCTTCAGGATATATCGGAGAAGACAATGGAGAAAGTTTAAAAAGAATATCAAATGGCCATATGCCAGAGACAAGTTTAATCTTTTAAGAAGATTTTTGTCGTGTGCATAGAAATGTGTATATAAGGTAATTTACTCGATGGTATTATTTTTGTCATTTACTTAAACATAAAATCCCATTTGTCATTAAGTACCTACTGCTTATTCCTCATGTGCATGTAAATGTCAAGTTTTACAATTCAAACAGAAATGCATTTCCATTTGTAAAATGGATTTAGATCGAATATCAAATTAGTATTTGAATATGGATAAACCATTTCTTTTGGATCTGGTCTCAAAGTTATTTACTAAAGAGCAGGTATGGAGCATTCGATTTGTTTTATCTTTAATTTTGTTCAAATAAAAAAGATTTGGAGTGTTTGTAAGTTGTTATAAGTTCAGATTTATTGCTTTGTTTGTTGGGTGTTAGACATTACATGGTACTACACCCATAAACATACACCATCTCAGAAGGACCAGAGTTCAGAGACACAAGTACATAATTGGCCTTGTGTATAAAATGATTAAATCTTGACTTATTTCTTTTCTTGCTGAAACTCAACAATGTCATTATTATGGCTTATTTCTAACAAAGGTTCTTGTAGTCTTTTAATTTTGTAAAACCAGAAGCTGTGGAGTGGGGAGGGGGAGAATTTTTGTTGTTGTGTAAAAAAGTAAGTGTAGCGAACAAATAGTTAAAATAGAAAATAAAAAACCTAAACACACACACATACAGGTACCGTACACAATTGTTGAAATTGTCCTGCTGTAAGAATATATCTTTAAGGCCTTGAGTAAAGTATCTTAAGATTTTTAACTACCTTTCATATACATGTAATAAAATTAATTTGAAAATTGGAAGAGACCAAATGTTGTTTTGTCCCTTCTTTTCTATGTAAGTGGGGAGTTCCTTTTTATCCCCTGTTTTGTGCCCAATATCAAAAAGGCCATATTTAAAGATTCGTAGTCCAAATCATAAGTTGGAAAATTTCAGTCATTTAAAGATGAAAATGCCAAATAATTTTGGTTAGATGTGAGTGAGATGCAAGGATTTCTGTTCCATGCTGCTTTTACTTTTAGGGATTTGTCCTTCAGAATATAGATGATATTGAAAATCAACAGTTTAAGCTTTCTCACATGTAACACTTACAGTTTTTCATTGGAGTTAATAAAATTTATGTCCTTTATGTTAATTTCAGCAATATCTCTGACAAATTTGCAAATTGATTATTTTTAGGGGATTAAAGCTCCTTTGATATAAGTGATTTGTTTTTGGATCTCATCATATTTGTAGCCTTCAGTATTTGCAGTTAACCGATGAGGACAATTGAACTTTTTTTTTGTTGCTAAATTTTTATTGCATGCTATGTAAGTGAGATTTAACTTCGTATAACAGGTTGTTTTATATGTCAAATTCGACTGTTTTTATGTTATGTATATGTTTTTATGTTCGGTCAAAAGCTCCTTAGAGCTTGTGTTGTGTCTTTTAACTTATGCCGAATCAAAATAAAGTTTTCTTATCTTATTCTTATCTTATAACTCCCAAAATCTTAGAGTTACCATTGAAGTTAGCCAGTGAATTTTCCTAACAAAACCAGTAATTTTATAAAGAAGATTTGCCTTATTGTTTATGAGGTTAAAATTTATGATTTTCTTAAAACATGTGATTTGAAGTATGGAATTCAGCTTTGGTATTATTCTTACATTGTGTAGATGTTGAACTTTGAAATAGTCCAGTTTAACCTTTCATCGACCTTGTGATTCATACAATATACAAGTTCCAGCTTCAATTGTTTAACTGAAATAGTATCTGTAATTGACAGATAAATGTTGACCAACTGACACATGTGGATATTCTTTATATTTTGCTGTCAAAATTATGGTCACTCAAAGACATTTTGTAGCTTTGTTCTTAGATGTAAAAAGGACCATATTTATAGAAAGACACACATATAATTTGTATTTTAATATTTGTCAGTGAAAGGAAATGTGAACTGTTTATGTAGACATGCATGAAGATAAGAAATTTATTGGGGCAAAAAATGACAGTCAGTGTTCTTCCTAGTACTTTCATATAGCACCATTGGTCTTGATATAGCACTGTTTCCCTAAAACTATTGCAAGCACTTTTATAATATTGTTACATTTTATTAGTAAAATCTATTCAGATAGCAACATGTTATGGAGATATAAAACCCTGGGGAGAATACTTACAGTACATCTTGTAATTAGTGTCTCCTCCACAAAGATGTATATTCATAGAATTGTTATAAAAAATAACAATTTGAATTGAATTATGTGTAGACTTTAAAAAACATGTTTGTTCATGTCAGGATATGCAGTGACTTGAGATATGGACATGTTTCCATAAATATATATATATATATAAATATACTCCCAATTTCTGATCCAAATCTGCACTAATTTGTCCTTACTGTCCTATTTCCAAAACATATACTTGTAGCTATTAAAATTTATAAATAATCTAGATTAAATCTAATCCTAATTGAGGCTAATACAACCTTTCACAAATCTATTCATTCTTATTTAAATTTTAAAATCAACACTTTGACGAAACATTTATGCTTTCTATAACCCACTGTTGTTGTTGGTAATTGTCTTGTATCATAATAAACCATTCAATTACTGCTGCAATGGATGTGTATTTATGGATTAACCATCAGAGCCAAAAGTCCGGACATCCATATATAGTTTTATATTTTATTCCTTGATTTGAAACTATGATCCATTCCTAAATTATAATCCAATTTGAATAGGAGGTATTAAACTTTCATCTAAAAACCCTCATCAGGAAAACCAAAAGGTAAACTTTCTTTACAGATCACACCATGCTATAATGTATAGGGAAACTTATTAACAGATAGAGTTTTCCTTTACAGTTTTCTTCAGGTACTTTGAAACTGTGCAATTATGCAAATTGTACACCCTGTAAACAAATTTCCAAGGTATAAAAGTAATGCTATTTACAGTATCACTGAAACTGTTTGAATTTTTGTTTGGTAACTGCATGTAGTAACAAGATGTAAAATATGAACTCATATTAGTCAGTTCTGTTTGTAACATATCATAGCAATATGTCCATGCATCACTTGAATTATTCTTGTATTATTGCTGGTTGTCAAAGATTAATTTCTTTAAATACACCATGGGCTTGTTCAATAAAGAGTTAATGCCTATGAAAAAGAGGTGGGTATTAAAGTAAAACAGTTATTTTTACAGTATCACTAAATCATATAATGTGTTTAATATAAGTGCATTTTCGGTTAAACCTGTTGTATTTCAGACTTGTACAGTTAATTTGGCCCTTTATGAAAATTTTTTATCAAGTCAATAGTCCTGTAAATTAAAGAATGACCTATCAACAATTCCACTGTATAGGCCAGATAGATCCTGTACTAGTATCAGTATCTATCTTCAAAATTTTGTTGTTCTTTTATTCACTACATGTAGGTTATGTGAAACATTGCACTAACAAAGCAGTAACATAATATTTCACAAAATGGTCTTTGCTGTTCACAAAATTTAATGAATTATTATTTTTCCAGAGTCGCCGCTCCAAGATGGCCACAGTAGGAGAACAATCACAGGTGGTCAGTAACCATACAAGGGATAAAGCAACCAAGGCAAAGGTCACTCTTGAAAACTACTACTCAAACCTTATAGAATCTTACCAAGATCGAGAAAAAAGGTAAGCTGTAGCATATTAATATAAAGGTCACAAAAGATTACTCATACCTTTTAGAATCTTACACAAAAAAGTACAGTAACGCTTGTGAGAATACTTTTCAAAATTGATTTAATTATACCTAGAACATGTAGAATGGGAAAAAAAGTTTGATAATGGCAGTACAAAATAATTGCCAATAAATGAATGTTTGTACGTTTATTTAAGTTGGGTACATTAAATAATATGTACAACAATTCTCATAGAGTATTTTTAGCATTTGTTTGCTCTCGTAACTTATACTTATAACAGACTCGGTGCTATTTTAGATGTTAAGTATCACTTTTGGGCATGATCATACATTTAACTTTAAATGAAGTTAAAGAAGATGTGATATGAGCTGCAGTTTACTTTGCCTTTTCAAGCTTCCAAGAACAACAGAAATTTTTATTATTTTATGAATTACCCTATATTATAAGGCAATATAACAGCAAAATATGGATGGTATTTTTAGGTCTGAAATAAGTCTATAAAATCAACATAAAGATACCAAAATGGAAATCCAATCTATAAATGTACTTTGATAACAATAAAGAAACTTTAGATATCGGTTATTCAGAGAATGATTTTCTGTATTCTATATATAGTTATTATATACTATAATTTTACCTGATTAATCAGTGACTAGGATGGCCAGGTGTATTTTATTAGACATCAATAACCACAAGTACTTATTTTCATTGTTCAAAAAGAGGCCATGATTGTGGTTATAAGATACGATGCACAATCAATGTATGTACCTATATTGAAATATATTTTGTGATTGAAATTTCATACATTGCAAGTAAGCTGGTGCTCTAGCACTTCAGTAAAATTGTAGACTGCAGTAGCACTTATGGGATAAAAATCATTTAAGTATATCTTTTAGCTACTATATGAGATTTATCCTGGGAGCGAAAGGCCATGAATAAGGTAGATGCACTCAGTCATATCACAATAAGCTTTATGCCAGAAGCCAAAACCATATGCACCTTTAAGACTCTTGAATATACTCTTACGAGGATTGAAATTTGAGAATAGAAAAAGAAACTATATAAAGTATTTTTAGAAACCTCAGCTATTGAGCTTGTGGTTAACTGTGAAGACTGTAATATTAAATACACATCCATGCAATTCTGTGTTATTGTACAGGATATTTTGAAAAGGTATCATGTTGCTCAAATTAACAGCATAATGATATACAAAATCTTTTAAAAAAACTAGATAGAAATCCATTTCTTATAAAGTGACGGTCAAATGTTATAGCATGTTTTACTGGGGACATTGATATAGTCATGATTAGTCAGGGAAGTTGACAGAATGTTAGTGGAAGGTGTATGCCAAGGCTTTTCTGGTAACTTTTTTTACATTCCAAAACTTGACATGTGAAACCATGTGCATTATTATTTGTAGTACTTTAAACAACTAGTCACCAAACACCACTTAACAAGATTTTACTGTAGATAAATATAGCTTAGTTGGTTTTACATTTTAATCTTGATTGCTTTTATTAGAATTATAATTTAAGTTAAAGGTAACAAGGAACTCCTGAGGGTTTTCTGTTTACGTAAAATTAATCATGAATTTGTTTCTCTTAATCTTAAGTTGCATTATTAGTCCAAGGGCATTCTGTACTTCTTGTTTAGCATATGTTAAATGTCATATCTGCAATATAATGTTCTTAAAGGAGCCAGGATTTATGATTCATACGTATTAAATTTCTATTTAATTTGTCTTAAAAGTACATCTAAAGTTGTCTTTGCTTTCATGTTTTATACAATTTTTGAAACGGCTATCTATTTGTTGAAAAGATGTGCCAAGCTAGTGTTATGATTAAGTTAAGGTTATTTTGAAATGAAATGGAATTGCTTTTCTTCAATTTTAAAAGTTAAAATGAATATTATGTTTTGACTTTTAGCCTGACAATAGTTTTAACACAGAAAGATTAGTATAAGTGATGTTGATGTGATTTCTTCATACAAAGCTATTTTATTTTTTATGCAAGACTTGATGATATAACAGTAGGTCCATGTCTGTACAATTATATTTTACACATATTTAAGATCCTTTAAAAAAAAGGAATTAGCTGAATGATTTTATACATGTACCACTACATGAGAACTGACATGGACCTCTTGTTGTATTATCAAGTCTTGCATAAAAAGTAAAATAGCTTTGTATGAAGAATCAAATAAAGCCAATTATACTAGTCTTTTCATGTAAAATTTACATAAATCTTTATAAAGACAGGATATTAAAACAAGTTTTAATAACCCTGTAAATAAAACTTTAAATTTGATGTTGGTATTTTTGTGACAAATTAGTCTGTGTGCCATAATACATGTTAAACAGATCTGGTCTGTCATCAAACCTCCACTCTTAACTTTGTATTACCTAATGAATGACAGAGTCCACTTTACTACACATTTGTATTGTAATTTGTCTCCATGACATGTGTTTTATGTCAAAATTCAAAGGGAACAGTTACAAGTATCCTCAGTTTGAGTAATATTAAGTTTAATTTTATTGTCTTGCTTTAAAACTATACAAAACATGTTTAGATTGTTGAACAGATAAAAAATTAATATATATTTGTTATTTCCTTGTGTTTTTATATATGTTATTCTGTTAATGTGCTGTTGTTCACGATATGAAATAAAGATATGAAGTTTACGACTTATAAAGTAACCCTTCAACACAATAGAGGGCAATAGAATTTTCGAACTCGTAATTTGAGAATTTGACACTTGCAAAATGTTATAGTTTTAGATATTTTGTTGGTGCAATTTCAGTAAATATACTGTTCATGTTATCATGTTATCATTTGAATAATTTTGTCTCAATCACTGGCTCAAATCTCAAGATTTCTGTGACTATTTTCTTTAAAAATATTACAAGAAAAAACTTGTTGGTCCTGGACATTTCAGCATAACTTAAGATCATTTTTAATCATAAGATCGTTTATGAAAAGAGCCCCGGTACCTTAAATTTAAGTATTTTTACTAAATATTAAGATAAAAGAAGATGTTGGATATACGTTCCTGAAACAGCAACCCATCAACACAAATAACCTAAAGACATCTAGAGGTTAACATGATAAGCTATAGTATTGAACAAAAGACTAAGTTCTATACAATATATCAAGCTCTATGCTCTAAATTGCCTGGAGTCTAGTACAAATTTACATAGACTATCTAAAAAATCTGCCTTGTAATACATGGTTTTTAACAAAATTAACCCATATTGGCTTAATGTTGTAAACACATAAATGTAGTTTTAGATAAACCACATGAATTTTTAATGATCTAATTTTAGCATAACATAGAGAAATTTAATTTAATTCTGATAGCAGTAATTGCTTTGTATTTCATCTGTTGTTTAGTAATTTTATTATTTTTATTGTATGCACATGTTGATTTTTGAATTTACAGTAACTGCAGTTCATACAATTTGCTATTTTGATGAAAGTGGATATAAAATTTTTAAAATCCAATTTTACAACGTAGAAAGCAAATTTTCTTTTGGTTTCATTTCTGAAGTATTAAATGCTGACAAAGCTATTCTATGAGTTTACTCATTCATATGATACAGTTGTTTTTGTAACAAGAGTCCCTATGTTCCTACTTTTAAACCTTTAAACAGCAGTAGTGATCCTGTGTAGATAATATGTGATGTAACAGATGGACCATTGAATGGTCCCATTGCCAAGGTGACATTCAGTTACATATTTGATTGTATGAGATTTGGGAACTCTTGTTAGAAATGTATGATTAAGCATGTTTTTTAAGTTTTTTATTCCCCCGCCTATAGGCGAAGGGGGCATTAACTGTTACCCTTGTCTGTCCGTACATTTTTTTCGTTCTCTAACTTTAGTTTGCCTCAACCAAATGTTATGGAACTTATACACAATGCTTATTACTACAAAACACAGATCAAGTTCGAATTTGGGTGGCATCAGTTTTACCATTCTGAAGTTATGCCCCTTTATAATGTTATATGCATAGTCTGTGTCCCATGGACACATTATTCATTTATTTTATTATTATTTTTAAGTTCAATTACAAACATAGATTTGAAATACACATATATGTCCAAATGGAGACTGTTGCTTTTGCAATACATCTCTATAATGACAAATTTTATTGCAGGTGAAAATGTATAAAACCATGAAAACAGGTACCATTCAACTGATTTGTATGATCCTGTGATTAAGTAAACTTCATCTTTTATTCTGAAAAATTTGTAACTTTTACTGGCAATTAGGAAGTGATGTATATTTCCATTATAGCCCATTTAGTATACAAAGAAAAAGATCAAAAGGAATGGCCATCAATCATGTGTGTAGTTATATGTACTATGTAATTGTTTTTACAATATATACATGCTGTGGTGGGGAATAAATCTTCCTCTAATCTCAGATCCTATAGTATATAAAAGTACCTGGATGGCTTTCATAGAAATTGATATGATACTTATCTGATCTTGTCAATAATCAACAATCTGATGTTTTTACTGGTAGCTCATATTTTCTGTGCATGAATGACAGAATGATTTAGCGAACTTCTATATGGCATCTGCTATAACTATTATGATATCAGAAAATATGTATGATACTGTAAAGATCACTTGTCTGTTTGCTGTATAGTGGACAGTAGATGTGTCCTTTTGCATCAAATCTTTTGGTCTTTTTTTCAAGATGTTCTACTTAGAATTTCATCAAAAAGTACTAGCATTAATCAGTAAAATCTCTTTATGTTTAAAAGCAATATAAAGTTATTGAGATTTTATTTGTCTCTTGCTGATCTAATGTTGGTAATGCCTGTGAGATCTTATCAAGTGATCATTATACATTTCTTTCCCTCTTGTGATGTTAAAGGAGATTTAGATGAAGTAAATGGGATCAGAGATGATGCTGTTAGTTAGCAATGAAATCCTGTGGCTTTATTAAAGTTAGCCTTGAACTGTATTAGTAGTAGTCCATGTAA